CTCTGCTTGGGACTTGACTTGGACTTCAGGTCAACAACTTGAGACTTACTTGAGATTCACAAAACAACGACTTGGTCCCATCTATGCTATTCACGCTCACTGGAAGACGTTGGACAACATGCAAATTATAAAACCATGGATTCAGCAGCAGCGTCTCCACAACCTGCCAAAGCTTTTCATGGGGGACATTACCCATGTCACTTACAGCAGCTGCCGAACATAACGGAACGCTACAATGGCATCTTTTTTAAATTAGACAAATTATAATGCCCAAATGAATTCATAAAAGGAAAAAAGAAAGGATACAATGATATCTAGATGAAGAAAACCGTGACATTTTCCCAGATTTTCTTAGTATCACCAGCAGAGCCCAAACGAAGTCGTCGTCCGCATGTTTCCAAACGTCTTCAAGTTTTGTGATATAAAGAGTAAAAAATATAAATGGTAATAATAAATTCTAAATTAGTTGCAGAAATAGCACGAGACTGGTGTCAAATAAGGCATAATTATATAAATGTAAATGTACAAGTAAAAAGATGATAAAATATATAAATTAAGTAATAAAAATATATCTCTACCTTGTCCCTAGAGACAAGATAGACATATTCCAATGAAACATAGCTTTTACTGGTACAAAAACATTGGACATAATTGCCAAGATGATTATGTTATAATTTGGTGTTTTTGTCAGGACAATTATCAGAAAGCAGAATGAGCCTCACATGACTCTCTCATTTATGTTGCCAGTTTCAACGCTGAAATCCAGTTGGTTTAAACCTAAAATGTCTCTCTGAACTGAATGATCACTACCTAAACACTACCTGCAGCCGGTCATGAATCTCCTCTGTTTCCACAGATCTGACTGATAACTTGGTGGCAGCATTCACTTTTAGGCTACATTCAGACTGCAGGGCTTAACGCTCAATTCGGATTTTTTTGTGAAATCTGATGTTTTTAGCGAGGTCGTTCACAGTTCCAATTAAATGTGACTTGTATGTGATCTTCAGTGTGAACATTAAATGGCCCAAAAGTGTTCCGCATGCTCACTGGAGGTCACGACGACGTCAACTGCAACGAGCGTGCTCTGTGTTTACGGAAGTTGTCCAAACATGGACACGAGCATTGAGCACCTGGAGATTTTGAAGATCCTCTCATACCGGAGCCAGAACATGAACAACTTACTTGTTTTAAGGAAGAGATTGAGAAGGAGAAGGACGAGGTGTTTGGCTGTGGCATTTTGTGGGACAGCGGCAGCAACGTCCGTTGAAAGGAACGTGTGGATGTGGAGACGGAGCCAAGAGTGGTGAGTGGTGATGTGCTTCACTTCAGTGACGCAGAGTTCATTAACAATTTTCGCCTACTTCAGAGCAGAATAGTGACGTTTGTGACTTGTTGATAACGTGTAGGTCGAATGACTGCGCTTTGGCCGTTCAGACTGAAGTCGCATGTCAAAAGATCAGATATGTATCGGTTTCAGGAGCACATATCCAAGTGGCCTGGGTCGCATTTGAAAAAATCGGATCTGTGTCGTTCAGACTGTCATTAAAAGATCAGATACAGGTCACATAGAGGCCAAAAAATCAGATTTGGGTCACTTCAGGTTGCAGTCTGAACGTAGCCTTAGTCTCAATAAACAGAGAGAGTAAAATGCCATACATCTCTCTCCATGGAGACAAGCAGTTAGTGGAACTTCCACCAGAAAAGTTACAAAGTGGAGCTTTTAAATACAGCTTAATTTAGTCCACGTTCAAAACACTTGCCCCTCAATGATATACTGTATGACATGTGGTGACAAGTGGCCATACCGTCTTGTCAAAGCCTGATCCCATCAGATCTCAGACGCTCAGCAGGACCAGGCCTGGTTAATACTTGGATGGGAGACTGCTGGGAGAATCAGGTGCCACAATGGGGCGCCAGTTACTAAAACTGTCCTGTTGTTGTGTCCTTAGGCAAGACACTTCACCCACATTGCCTAGTATGAAAATGGTGTGTGAGTGTTGGTGGTGGTTGGAGCTCTGTAAAGTGTCTTTGTGACAAATGTCTATGAAAAGCTCTATGTAAATAAAAACTTACTTACTTACTTACTGATCTTTGAAGCTCCTTAGAGTTTTTTAAGTTCATACACCTGCCCTCTGCGAGCTTTTTGCTAATGTTCATAAGTTTAGCTAAATTGAATCTTTACATTTTGGTTGTTTTATAGCTCAGAAATACCTAGAAAAACAGGCATTCTGACTGTGAGCAGGGTTGCCTCTCCGCAGACCTGACCTGTAACTTGGTCTGGTTTGGTCTCCATGAAGAAACGTTTAACACCACACTGTGAAACCTTCTAGACAAAATAATAACATTTCCACAGGGAGAAAAACATTTGACGGACCCTCTATCAAAAAAGTCACACAAGGCACCTTTAAATTTCATAACAAAAAGCTTCCTTAGCACAGGTAAAAAATCATCAAATGCACACGAGAACCTCACAGCATTCCCGTTTTTTACATTTTTTTTCTCTCGGATGTGCATTGCTCCTGGACAGCCTTCTGGACTGCAGCGTTTAGAGGCAGATTTGCACTGAAATCCTTTGACTGTTGTGCTTCCAGTGAAATGTCCCGCAGCGTGGAGCAGCAGCAGTGTGAAGTCCTGCCAACTCAAACGCTTCTACGGAGGTCTCTTATTTTGAAAGGGCTTTTACCGTATATGTGGTAAAAGGCACAGCCCGCATGCATTTGATCCTGTATTACTCTGTCTATAAGTAGCAGTGATTTACATGTTCAAATAAGAGGCCTGGATGTGGAAATGTCACGGGTACGTAGATTACACATGCGATATCTTTACCGTGGCTCTCGTGGTTATGTAAATGAGAATGAATGAATGTATGGACCATTGAAGTTTAATTTGTAATATGGATGTTATGGCCGTGTGATCAAAGCTGGCTCTTTTAAATCGACTTAAAAAACATTCTAGAAAGGGTAAAAATGGCGTTACTGCAAAAAGAAAAAGAGTCTTTGGGCAAGGTTCTTCATAACTTTGTCTGTAGAAACATGATTGCACGTATTATTTTGATTGAAACCTAATCGTACGGTGTGGTCTCGTCGAATTCGCCCACAAACCCGCCTCTCAGCTCTGACCAGTGGATTCGCAGGGTCAGACAGGGCTCTGAAATCTGTCTCAGGAGAGTTTGTAATGCAGTAGCTCATGACCGTTTAGGCAGTTCCCAGTTTTTCAGTGGAGTCGGTCCAAACTGTGCCTGGGATCCAAACTGGAGCTCTGTGTATATTCTATAAACAAAGCAGTTTAGATCGGGGCCAAAAAAGCCAGTGCCCGTCCACTTACTGTCTGAATCGGATCCAGGCCTGAATCATTGCCTGCATGTTTGAACCTCATCATCGAAGGTATGTAAGAGTGTAGTTAAAGGGCCACTAAACACCAAAATCACTTTTTTTTCCTGCTGATTCACTGCGTAAATGAGTCTAAAATAGAAATGCATCTCTATCCCTGGAATTATTTTGGCATTTTAGTGCATATTTGTTAAAAATCTGACAGAAAACATGTCTGTAACGGCCTCTTTAGGATCAACTACGGTCAGTACATTTGCATTTTCGGGTTGGACTAACGGCCGCCCATGAGTCAGATGCTCGGTTATTACGTGACGACCGCAGTCACTGGTGTCTACGGGTGGTACACGAGGAGCCCCTCTCAGCCCTGCCCAGCAACGCCAGTCACTGCGATATCCTGCCATGTCTGGAGAAAAAGAAACGGCGTGATCTGAGCACAAATGTCTGCTCTGTTTCAAAGTCCGGAGCATTTTGGATTGTTGTGGCTGTCAGTCGACTGTCAATCATCACCCCAGAGTCTGCCACACACCCACTGTCCACAACCCACTGGACAACGCCCACTCTGGAGGATTTTTCAGATTTGGCTTAGGGGCGAAGTAATTGTCCCACTAAGGAATTTTAAATATTCCGCAGAAATATTTTCAAGCCCTCAAATTCAACAGTCAAAATTCAGATTGTAAAATTTGCAGCAAAAAAAGGAATTGATTTAAAGTGATCCGATCTGATTTAGTAACAAGGAGGAATTGGTGCAGTGAACTGATCTGATTTATCAGAATTAGCCTCATCAGCAATTCATTTCTTTTATTTAAGTCAGAGGTTTCAAACTCAAATGAGGGCCAAAATCAAAAACTGGGACTAAGTCGTGGGCCAAACTAAATATTTACTGACAAATTTCAACATCTGCAAGTTTTCTTTTCTTTTGAGATATGTAATGTTAAACCTTTTCTTGTTAAAATAAATGTTTAATAGTAGTTTTGCTTAAACATTGAATCCCGAACAAGCAAAATATAAAATAATAACAAAATTTTAAATAAATAATGTCTCTATAATCTGTAGCCAGCGGCCAGCTCTAATACATGTTTGATATGATCTCGCGGGTCAAATATAATTATATCGAAGGGCCAAATTTGGCCCCTGGGCCTGAGTTTGACATGTCTGATTTAAGTGTAAACACTGGTCAGTATGAAACAAACTTTCCTCTTCCTCCTCAGTCACATAATCGATTGCTTCTGCCTTGGCATTTTGGATCTTTGTTGTGAAATTTTTTCACTCTGAATTATACACTCTAGATTTTGACTGTTAAATTTGAGGTCTTGAAAATATTTGTGCTGAATTATTATATTTAAAAGGTAAATTTTTTCTATTCTGAATTTGAAATCTTTTGAAAAAGTATACTTAAAATTTCAGTGACTAAAATTCTGAATAAAAATAATTCAAACATCTTTCAAAAATTCAAAGTAAAGAAAGAAATTCAGCGGTTCAACGGATCAAATTATCTTCCATGTTCAGTCGTCTACTTGCATGAACCGTGTTTAGTATCCACAGTACGTATTCTGAAACTCTAGTGTGATTCATGTATTCACCAGTATTGTCCCACCGTTCCTTTTCGTTTTTATTTTAACGACTGCATCTCTATAGCTCTTTGGTGTGTACGTGTGTGTTGCGTTGTCGTACCTGATGACCGGTCTCCGCAGATGGCACAGATGTGTTTGGTGAGGGACAGGGCGGTGCTGGAGGGCTGGGCCGGGACCTTCATCACTCCGTTGAGACCCAGAGGCGGCTTTATGTCCTCGGAGCTGCTCACCGAGTTCATGGGCGAATTCAACTGGAACATCAGCACGTGCAAAAAACAACACAGACTGGTCACTACTACTGTATGGACAACAACAACAAAAAAACACAACAACTTGACTTTACAGCAGATTACTGGGATAACAAAGAAAATATGCCTGGCCTGGTGTCCTGTTTTGTAACATTTTTGGTGGGGGTCTGTCTCCAGCTGGTTTCCATGGAGCTTTGTCTGACATGTTCCATAGTATGACAATAGACTTATATATCTCTTATCTATATCTAGACTTGTTTTAGTTTCTTGTACCGCTAAAACAATAAATGCAAGGTAGGTAGATACCATATTTTTCGGACTATAAGTCACACTTTTTTTCATGGTTTGGGTGGTCCTGCAACTTATACTCCAGTACTTATATGTTAAAATTTTCACACTGACAGCCGCGAGATGCTCTAGGCTTGTGTACTCCTGTACCACTGTCACTTCACACTCTACTGCACATGTCGGCTGCAGAAGAAAGAGAAAGAGCCACTGTCCTTTCTGGTCAGTCAATCGCACCATTACTTCTGTATCACTGACAAGTTAACATTTAAACAAACATAAAGACAACTGAAACCATCCTGTCGGGATTCAGAAAGACCGGAATAATTCTAACTGGAACTGATGTTGAGTTTGAAGAGGAAGTGGCGCACCGTTTACCTCCGGAGGTCATGGAGTTGCTCAGAAGTGACACTGAGGATGAAGAATTGAATGGATTTAGTGATTTGGAGTGAGATGGAGAGTTTGTTAAACTTGTTCTGTTCTGTTGTTTATGTTATAGTTTATCTGAAGAACTGTTCATATGTGACGTTAACAGTCTGTTGTTCTCTGTTCTATTGTTATTACTAGAACTTGCCTGTCAAGATAAAATGTTGGTCTCTGGTCTCTGATTTTATAAAATAAATTTCCCCCAATTTCATTATGCATTTTTTGGCTGGTGTGACTTATATTCTGGAGCGACTTTGCATTGCAGGTGAAGCTATAACATCTCCATGGAGACAAGGAAGTGGTGGAAGCCCCAAGTATTTAAATATATAGAAAACATGTTGCGCATCTCCTTTTGAACACATTTTATAAACAATTCTCAAAGTACTACAGACAGTTGATTTCAGAAAAAACTGTTCACTTTTCTCCATGTCTAGAATGTTTCACAGTATGGCATTAAACCTTTCTATCTTCACGAAGACCAAACCAGACCAAATTACAGGTCAGATCTGTGGAAAGGCGACCCCGCTCACAGTCAGAATACCTGTTTTTGTAGGTGTTTCTGAGCTATAAAACCACCTGTAAATGAATACATGTAAAGCAAAGATGTTTAATGTCATACTGCGGAACATTCCAGGTATAACCAAAATAACCACGTGCTTAAAAACGACAACATCAACATTTCAGTCTCATTTCACACTCTCACACTACAGCTGGTCCACACTTGTAGCAGGAGTAGCAGTCGTAGCTAAATCTGCCGTCTTTGGGGAAAACCTCTCCACTCCTCCCTCATCTTCTCAGATCCAAATCTAGCACAGCGGGACCCTGGACTACTCCACCCCGACTTCTATTTTATTCATGCCCTCTCTCCCAAATGGTCCTACGCCAGCAAAAAATAGACTTCACATTTTGACAGAACAGCAGAATAAAACGCAAAACATAATCTCCACAATCTTTTAAAAATAGCTTCGAGAAAACTTGCAATGACCTCTTCTTCCCTTTTGCTAAATGCGATGAGCTAAAGGCTAATTATGCTAACTAGCGACTTGCTGTTTTTTTTTTTTTTTTTTTTTTTTTTTTAATGATAATCGTTTCAGGGCAGGGTTTAAATGATCCTGAATTTCTAAATGTAAAATTGATGGTAGAAACTTGGGCCGGGGGCAGTCTGCTGTGATTGGTCATTCAAAGTGATGAAGTTTAGGAACAAGTTACTCTTAAAGCGTAGCGTTCAGCTCCAGTCAAATGAAGCTCATTGAGGCTCGCGGCTACAGGGGTGAATCTGAAGCCAGTTCCAGGAATAGTAATTTATTTACAGACAATATATTAAAAAAAACCCAAAACAAAAACATGTAGAGTGGGTTAATACGAACATTTTAAGACCAAAATTGTAGCCAGTCGATGGAGCCAGAAGTGCCTCCATGCTAACAGGTTAGTTATGTCCATTTATACCGTCTAATCTCTACAGGAATCCAGACCTGGGCATTGTACAGCTCCCGGGCCACATACTAGAATGATTCATCAGACGGCTTCACTTTGTAGAAACTGTCTGACCTCGCAGCGTTAGAATTCGTTCGCTTGACGGTAGGCAGGTACTTTTTCTTATTTAACTGATCGCTGCTACTTGGTCGTGACGTATGTAATGTGGCAAATCCCGTAGGAAGAAGGGCAATAATGTCTTTCTCCTTGATGAAATTCACCAAACATTCTCTTTGTTCCTGCTTTAAATCCTCGATCTCGGGAATCGTTGACAACACAGAATGTATGGCTTTGTCTACATCCATCTCGACCGCTTTGTTTACTGTTGTGCTGTATCACAAAAGGGACCCAGTCATGGTGTCACAGCTCTACGTTGATTGGCCGGTGTGCAGTCTACAACTTCCGGGGTTCTTGCAAACTGTCTAGTGTATTCTGACCTCGTCGCTGGAGAGAAATGAAATTGAGCGGAGGCACTAGGTGGCGCCAGCCTGAATAGCCACATACAGTTTTGGTTGACTCTGACCGGCCAGTTTAAGCTCATTTGGAATATTTTATAATTTTACCTCATGTATGGACTCAAGCTGCATTGCTTTTATTTTAAAGGTGTTTTTTTAATGACATTTTCGTAAGGCAACCTACATTGCTTAGTCAAAACATAAACTCTTACCAGTCTTACCAGCTCGTCAAAACAATGTTATTTACTGCCTTTTATAAAGAAATACAATTAATATTATGCAGAACTTGAGTTAAGCATTTTTGCACATTATTTTCTGTTTCTCATGTGGCCCCATGGAAAAAATAATTGTCCAACCCTGCAGTAATCTATACAGTTAGGCTTAGGGAAATAATTAAAGAAGACTTACTGTGCTTGTGTCTGCTTTATTGTTATAATCTATGGCACCCGTGGATCATTATGCTTCAAGATGGACATTTTAAATCACATTATTTATCTAAAACAACTTAATAAAAAACACAAATCTGCTGACTTTCGTGTTAGAAAACAAATTTAAGCTGACATTGATGAGACTTTTTTTTTTCATTTGTACCAAAATGACAATGAGACACTGCTGAATCTTACATGTATCACCGATTAGGAAAATAAAATTGGAGAACGCAGTAAGTACAGAGCAGTGGACGTGAACCAGTGGTGGTAAAAATGAGGGTTTGATTGGAGCAGTGATGTCTTGAATACAGGAGAATAAAGATGACTTAAACACGCAAGAATTATGCTAAATACAATTTGGAGAGGGTCAGTGAGAACTGCAACTATAACATGGTTAAACTCTCTGAAAAGCAGATAATCTCTATAATTGTATAATCGCTCTGCTTTAAGGTTTTGGTTAGGAAAAGTTATGGATTAGTTGTCATCTACCCACCTAATCTTACCTAAAATAAAGTATAAAATCGTAAAAATATAACATTATAAGTGTGTTTATTGCTACACAGGCTAACACATTACCATGGCAACCAAAACTACATCTAACCATATACAATGTGGAGAGGAACACGAGCTAGACAAGCCATTAGCAAGCATCTCCACTATGATCGAAAATGGATGCTTGAAAGCACTCAACATACGGAGAGCAGACTGTGCACGAACTTCTGTCAGCCAAGTGTGGGTCAGCATTTTATTTGGTCTCGGTCTTGTTGTTTATTTATGTTTCAATTGATTTATTTACAGTATTTTGTGGAATAATTCTAGTTTTATTTAACAAATAGCGTTGTGCTAATTCAGTCTTCAGCTTGATTTAATCTTGAAGGTGTAGAGTGTAGGCCGAACTTGTCATTCACGCATGTTTATCCAGAGGTGTCGCTACCATTAGGCAAAAGTAGGCGGCCACATAGGGTCCCCAAATCTGGAGGGGTCCCCAGTCAATTACCCTCAGTGACCAAGGCCTCAGAGCAATTTTATATATTTATTTATCTATTTATTTAATTAATGAGACATGGACAGAGCACAATTTACATTAACCTTAACAAGGGAGATGCATTGTAACAGGTTGTAGCACCAGTGGCCCTGGGCAGGTTAAGTGATTGATTGATTTTCTCTCAATATGACATCAATTCACTTTGTAGAAACCGTCTGACCTCGCAGTGTTAGAAATCATTTGCTCGATGGTAGGCGGGTACTTTTTATCATTTAACCAGTCACTGCTATTTGGTCATGACGTATGTAATATACCACTAACGGGGCTAACTGGTATATTAAGCTTTTCCCAAATCCTGTAGGAAGAAGGGAAATAATGTCTTTCCCCTTGATGAAATTCACCAAACATTCTCTTTGTTCCGGCTTTAAATCCTCGATCTACGGAATCGTTGCCAACACAGAATATATGGCTCTTCGCTGATTGGCTGGTGCCCGAACTCGCACTTCCAGAGTTCTCGCAAACCGTCTAGTGTATTCCAATTCCTGACCTAGTCGCTGGAGAAAAATGAAATAGAGTGGAGACACTAGGTGGCTGGCTAGTTGGTGATGGAGATGGTATCCTCAAATGTGCTACAGTAATATACAGTACATTACAGTAAAACAGGGAACTGCATAGAACATGATTGTTCCATTTCAGTGCAGACTACATGACGAAATAACTGTTATTTAGCACTTTTAAATCTTAATTCTTTCTATTCGGACCATAATGATTCGCACTAAGCTCTTGACAAGACATTTAAAAAGGAAGAAATTGCCTTTCTACAATTCTTATATAAATACAACATGACTTTTTAAATACAATTTGGGTTAAAATGTATATAAATTGCAAAAATCTAGGCTATATTTGGTACTTTTTTGGTACAAAGCAGTTTGATTAAAGCAGACGACTTGGACTTGACTTG